GGAAAGGAATCCAAGAATAATTCTTAGATGTTTGGTTTGGGTGACTGTGAATGGTAGTGCCCTTTAGTGATACCGAGGAACCTGGGCAGGACTTAGGTCATGTTGTCTTTGTGAGACTGACTGGACGTTTACATGGAGATATCACATAGCTAGACAGGTCAGAGGCCAGGTGGATGTTGACCCATAGCCATTGTTCAGCAGAAGACTTAAAAGTCACATGACTGGATAAAGTCGCCATGTAGAGAAACAAGGGGATGGGCTGGGAAATGTGTCTGGGGCTTTGAACAATTAAAAGATGACTGATGAGTTGGGAGAAAAACAAGGAGTGTGAAATGTCAGGCAAGTGAAGTGCTCTATTCTCCAAGAGGAGGGGAGGGTCATCCTCATAGACCTGTGTGGAAAAGTTGCATAGGGTAAGACAAGCAAAGTGACTTTGGATTTGAACACCAGAAGTGATTGGTACTTTTGAGAATATCAGTTTCAGCAGAAGGCTAGGGCCCAACATTGGACAGGAGAACTGAAACAACAACAGAAAGTGAGCATGTCTGAGTGGTGGAAGGAGAGTGGGTTTTTCTCTCAAGGAATACCCACACTGAAGTGCTCAAATGTCTAGAAGACATTACTTAGATCACTTTCACTTTGCGTGATGCGAGGAGGCTACCAGCACATAGCTTAAAGACTAAATTTTTGAGAGCAATGTAGTAAGAAGTTACATAGGATTTGGGGAGAATGGAATTTTCCAGTGCTTTTGCCTGTGTACTCTGCACTACGAATGCAGTTTATGTATTTGACACTGCCATTATCTCTCTCTGTCCTGCATCTTGTATTAGCTCCAGTAGAGCTATATCATTTCTAGTTCCTTGCTGTGTCAACATGATCATCAAACATTTTTAGAGTTCTTCATACCTACATCTCAGTTTTTGACCAAGAAAAAACGAAACCTTTTTCTCCCCACATTTCCAGACTTTCCCTACTCTGAAACTAGGAATTACTCAAGCAAAAAGGTTCATGACCTCTAAAACATGTTTCTTGATTCCGTCGTTGGGATCATGGGTAACAAAGGGCTGTGACAGAGAGCAATTATCATTCTCTAGTCTGGGATTTTTCTAGGCAATAATTAGTAAAGCATCTTCCTAAATTCCTTGCAGTGACTTCAGGCTGGGCAAAGGGGGGTGTTTGCTTGGGGTGGGGATGGTAAATTCAAGGTAGGGGTCCCCTTTATTTCTAAATCCTTAGCAAACTGAGTGGGAAATACATGTGCATGCATATAATTTTAATTCAAGGTGGGAGAAACATCTTGAGTGGATTAACAAATCGTATTTGTATACATGTAACTAAAACAGTAATTTATCAGGTGGAAGGCAGATGGGGAATAAAATGCCAACCTGTGTGTACAGTTGGGTTGTGTTGATGATGAAGTGCTGTTTATTCAGGGCCAGCGTCGCTTGTCAGCAACATAAGAGCCATGGCAGCACACGACTCCCTGCGTGGCTAGAACACAATAATAAATTATCTCCTATGCAAACAGCACCAGCAGAAAAGCGGAACAAACAGCCTGTGCCGCCCGAATTCCTGAAGACTCTCACTCATTCCCTTGTTTGATTCTGTTTTAAATATGAAACTCTTGACATTATCCTAAGGCCAGTAGGGTGGAATCTGGTTTGGACAAATTTGTTAGGGTACATAGGGCATAATTGTCAACAATCTTGGTTTTGGGGTTTCTCTAATATGCCTAAATGATTCATATAAATGTTTTTTGTTCTATCATTAGTTCATTTGAATTTGTGGAATTCAGGGTCTAGCCAGAGGACCTAGAGTGTTGGTTTTTTTTAAAAAAAAAAAAAGAAAAAAAAGCACTTGCAGCCTGCTAAATAAGGGTCTCTAGCCAAGTGCCCAGAGGTACACATCCAAGAGATTTTTATGATGAGGCTAGGTCAAGAGTCAGGAACACAGGGGATGATCAAGTACAAATCCCCAGACAGGCCTGGGAGCCCAAAGGACTGGTTTGCAGAAAAATCTACCAATGGATAAATGCCTCCCTAAGGCTATGTTTTACAGATTTCATACAGTCACATGAGATGGATGGGAAAGACATAGCCGTGTGCTGGGCTTCAGTCGGACAAGATTCTGGAGCCATCCATGTAACACAGAAGAGTTCAGACTGCTTGGGATGAGGCCTGCATTTTCAAATAGCTAATGGCCCACAAGTATGATTTTGAATAATGATAATTCTTCTGAATCTTAAGTTTGTGTCCACATACGTGTAAAACCTGCCCTCTCTTGTCTGAGTCACACAGCCAGGAGTGGAATGATAATTGTTACTGTCTGTGAAAATCTCTTCAAAATGGGTGTCTTCTTTCGAAGGTTTTTAAATGCACTTGTGAAGGGTCAGTTTATATACATAATGAAAACATATTTGGCTGTAGAGTGGCTCAAGAGGTAGAGCGCCTGCCTACCAAGCATGAGGCCCTGAATTCTAACCCTTGTACCACCAAAAAATAAAATGAAAATAATCTTTGAAAAGGAAAATTGTAGGGCTTCTCATACAAAGCCTCAATTACTAAAGATAAGGTATAAATGTTGCTGTCCCTCTGTGTTTTCCTCAGGGACCGTATCTTTTATGACTCATAATAGCAAAAAGTTCCACATTACAGGTTTCTGGCTTTGTTTTGCAGTACTGGGGATTGAACAGAGAAGGAGAACACTCTACAACTTGAGCCATGCCCCTAGTCAGCTTTAAGGGTCTTGATTAATCACCCATGATGAGTTGAAATATTTTCCCTTTGGACAGATGAGGTCTGATTAAAAGAAACCACCATCTAAATATCTTCTGTGGGTAAATTCATTTTTAAATACCTTTTAAATGATTGTTATGATGCTATTTTGGACAAAAAATTAAAAGCATGAAAGCTGACAGTACACTTTTTGGGTCACATGCTTCCAAAAGTTAGTGTACGTGAGCACGATAAACTTCATTACCAAGTCAGAACGATAGGTGTCCTGGGTATCGTCAGCAGTCTGCTGAGACCCTGTGGATTCCCACGTGCAATTCCTTGGAACCTGAAAGGAAAAGCAGCCTCATCGGATGCCTAACAAGAGTCACTGCCATAGAATAGACAGCAAAGCCTCACTGAGCCATGGAACCTGCTGATCAGCAGGACCCCAAACCCACCAAGGGTCTCATGTACCCTCTCAGGGGCCTTGTAGACCATGAGAGTCAGCCGAGCAGAATTACAGAGTGTGCCTATTCTATGGTTAGTGGAGGTGGCTAGTAAAAAGTCTAAACCATATGCAAACATAAATGTGGTCATGGGAAAAGTTTGCACATGTATGCACTGTACTTTGTAGCGTGTCACAGTGGTTATGTGAAGAGGGCTGTGAGCACTTCCATTTTCTATAGCATGTGTCTGCATTGTGGTTTAATATCTTACCAGTGGCACCACATCACTCTGATTACCATTATAATCAGAAAAAAATTATAGAATTCTCTAAATCATGATATTTTTCACTGATAGCACAAAAGACTGTCAGATGATTGATTATATATGGTAATTATACATAATCTATATTTATATTGTCTATTATATAACAAAGTTGATTGATTATATATAGCAATTGTATATAGTCTGTATGTATTATATATTATATAATAAAATTAGTTGATTATATATGCGATTATATGTACTCTATATATTATAGAGTCTATAAGTATACAGTCTATATATAATCTTTATAGAATATATTTTAAAGACCATATTATTTATGTGTGTATGTATGTTTTTATTTATGCCATTGCTTGGTATCTGTGGGAGATTGGTGCCAGGACCCCCTACAAATGCCAAAATCTGTAGATGCTCATCAAGTCCCCTGTATCCTTGAACCCTCCTATATTGTTTAAATCATCTCTAGATGAACTTACGATTGCTAAGACAACATAAAATGCTATGTAAATATTGTTATACAGTATGGCTCAAGGAGTGACAACCAAGATAAAAATCTGTACATGTTCTGGACAGATGCATTTTTTTCTGACTATATAGAGTGTACTGTTGACCGAATCTGTAGCTGTGGAAACTATGGATATTGTACACCAACTGTACATTCAGATATTAAGCTTTGGTAGAGGGTTGTAGCACAGGTTGATTTCATGCATGTATCTCTCTGGCCATTTTACATACATTTTGTGAGTAACTAGCATGTACCAGGTGCTATGCCAGGGGCTAGCATATGGTTTTCACTCTACTTCTTGAAGGAAGAGAGACAATCGCACAGACAACGTGGTTCTGGTTGCAGTTGACAAAACTCAAAGAGGCCAGTACATTTTCAGTGAGTGACATGAGCCACAGGTCTGGGTGTTTTCTCTCTTTATTCATTTCTCCATGGCTGCCTCATAGAGCAAGTCTATCTGACATGCCACACATCTACACTGAAATAAGAATTACTCAGTAGAGCCGGTGGAGATGCTTAAGTGGTAAAGCACCTGCCTAGCAAACTTGAGGCCCTGAGTCAAACCCCAGTACCGCCAAAGAAACAAAAGAATAACTCAGTAAATTCAGCTAAGTCCATCCAGTTTATATGTGGAGCTGATAATAATTAGAAAATAAAATTGTAGGAAAAGATAATAACTCCTTACTTTTCTAGTAGCAGATGGTAATCATTGTGAACAGAAATTCTTATGTAGGTCTTATAAGTGATAAGAGGGATAAATATGCCTTGAGAAGTATTGAAATGAATATTTTGGAAAAAAATATGACATTTATTCTTTGTCTAAACTATTCCTCACAATGACAATGACTTCTTCCTTTCTTGGTTTGGGAAAGCCATCAGTATAGCTTATTTAAGCCATAGTATGAAAGTTTCCAAGCTTCCTGGAAACAAAGTGTTTATTTCACTTGCCTCTGGTTATAAATCTATGTCCAATGCATCACAGCACTGGTCTGGCTGTCGACACAATTTCCACACAAGGCAGTTTGACATCAACGTCAAATTTCCTATTGTCGTTTCAGAACTGTGTGTTTCACAGCAGTCTCACTAGTGACTTGAAAGCATTCACAGACAAGTTCGGTTTTGATGTCCTCATCCTGTTCGCCAGTTACTTGTCAGAGGAGCAGCTGAGACAACAGATTGCTGTGTATTCCCAGAACCTGGAGCTGTGCAGTCAGGTGAGCCCGTCCTCTGACCCCCACCTGTTTCACTTCATCCTAACCTGCTGGCTTTTAGGACATGTGGTGAGAGATAGGAATAGATTGGTGGCTTGTAAGAAATTGGACCAAACATGATAAAAGCTTTAGCACACAAGGGAGGGGTGAGGATAGATAAGACACCTAAAAATTAGTTAGCATTTGTTGCCCTTAATGCAGAGAAACTAAAGCAGATACCTTAAAAGCAACTAAGGCCAATAGGAAAAGGGGACCAGGAACTAGAGAAAAGGTGAGATCAAAAAGAATTAACCTAGAAGGTAACACACACGCACAGGAAATTAATGTGAGTCAACTCCCTGTATAGCTATCCTTATCTCAACCAGCAAAAACCCTTCCTATTATGGCTTATACTCTCTCTACAACAAAATTAGAAATAAGGGCAAAATAGTTTCTGCTGGGTATTGAGGGGAGTAGGGGAGAGAGGGAGGGGGTGGAGTGGGTGGTAAGGGAGGGGGTGGGGTAGGGGGGAGAAATGATCCCAAGCCTTGTATGCACATATGAATAAAAAAAAAAAACAAAACAAAGAAATTGGACCAAGATAAAGTTCTTAGGTTTGAGTTTTAGGAAATGTTGTAGGTATATTGCACATTGGGTTTTTGGAAAGAGCTTGTATTCATCCATTTTGTGTTGCTATAGCAAAATACTCATGGCTGGGAACTTTACAAAGAAAGAGGTTCAGAAAACATGGCACTGGCATGTACTTGGCTCTGATAAGGGCCTTATAGCAGATGTCATCACAATGGTGGGAGTCTGTGCCTCACATGGTGAAGCAAGAAGCAAGAAAGCAGGCTAAGACAGCCAAACTTGCTGTTTAATAACCCATTCTCTGTTGTAAGAACTTTTGTAAATGCCACAATGTACCCTCACCCAGAACAACAATAAAAATAAAAATAAATACTAATAACCCATTCTCATGAGAACTAATACAATCCCATGAAACCTTCATTAATCCCTTCTGAGGGTGGTATCTCCATGACCTACTCACCTTCCCATAGGCCCCACCTCTTAAAGGTTCCACCACCTCAACACCACCACACTGAGGACTAGATTCTAGCACACACTCGCACCGTAATGCACTCAAAACCATAGCAAAGCCTCATAGCTATCTCTTGTATCCACCAAGAGAGCAATCAGTACTCTTTGGGTACTGTTTTCTTTTGGGACTGCTGTTTGGTGATGACCACAAGGCCTGGTCTCCATCTTAATAACCCATTTGGCGCCTGGTGTTTAGTAATTGTAATCTGGTGCTTTAATAAAAGTCTGTGTCCAGGTGCTAAGATACTGACTGGGCAATCAATTGTATCTTCTAGGTTAACAGCTGTGTCTTTTAATCTAAGACCTAGGAAATTAAAAAAAGAATTAGATAAAATTAATCAAAATAAGCCACTGGATATACCAAGCCAGAGTACTTAATGACTAATATGAGAACATACATGATCCATGTAATATGAGGCACATGACATGGAACACCTTTGTCCCTCATCGTTCCTCACTAGTGGGTTAAAACCTTGCATGCCCACAGGTGGCCAGTGGCAGTGTCCACTCCTTTCTTTTCTACATTCCCCCTTTCTGTCCTCCACGAGTCCCACTGGCCCCTTACCCCAGGACTGTATGTACTGCCTGGCTCTCTCTGTTCTTTCTCAAGTTCAAATAAGACCCCCGCCCCCATCCCTGCCAGAGATGCGTCTGTGTGTCCTCTGTATGTGCTTTATCACCAGCCTGGGCCTTCAGTGATTTGCTCTGTATTTAGGTTCAAGTTGAATTTTACCTTTGGTCATCGGCTTCCTAGGAACAAGATTTAGGCTTTCTAAACCTCCCATACTGTGGTTTTCAAATCACTTTTAGCAGGAGACCCCCTTTCCAAACTAATTTGAAAATAGATTTATTTTAAATAGACACAAGAAGAGCAGACGAAGGAGTTAAAGGTCTTGGATGGCCCCACCCATCCCCTCCTCTCCCTTGATGACTTTCCCCACTTTTCCATGGGGATCATCTCAAGTGTCTTGTGGTTGCACCTTTGATTAGGAGGCCACCTCTGCAGCTGAACTGACTGAATTTAAAACTCAGACCCCATCACTTGCTAGCCGTGTATTGTTGGACAAGTTATTAAGCCTTCTTGTGTCTTTATTTCTTCATCAGTAACATGGTGATAAAAACAGTCCTTATCTTGCAGAATGACAATGAGGACTAAAAGAGATAATGACTGTAAAACCCACACAACAGTGCCTGGTACAGGAAGGCACTCAGTGAACATCGGCCATTATTATCACCATCTCCATGAATTCTTCAGTTATTACCATTTTCTTAAACCTTCACTTACGCTGTGGGGCCATTTCAAAGACCCAGTGTGGCAACGCACTCCTGAAATTTCCTAAACATCAAAGAGCTACAGCCCAGTCCTGGCCTTGCACTGATCATCCATCACAATGTCCTTCTGTCTCCCAGGTGGCTTTGTTCAGGATTCTCTATTTCTTGTTCCCTAGGACAGGAAGGGACAGAGGGGACCTGTTGGGGAAGCTCAGCCCTGTGGCTCCTTTCTCTTTCCTACTTTCCTCCTTTACCTTAGGAAGCTATCAGCTGTGACAGTAGATCTGGCTGCCTGTCCCTTTCCCCTGGCTCCAACCAGAATTACTCTGTTGGTTTGCAAATTTGAGTTTCACTGTTGTTGGAAGATGGTGTTACAGTACACCTAGGAAAGGAGCTGGATGGTTTATAACCTCGTTACTCATAACTTTCAGGAGCCAGTGAAATCACTGGGATTTTGAGTTAAATAAAAAGACAGTTTGATAGGACTGGAGAAAAGGGTCATGGTAAATTACGTAGGATGACCACAGATTAATTTTCATGTTAAGCAAAATTAAGAAAGACAGATTGCAGAGTGCAAAGACTGCCTGAATACCCACACAAACAAACTCCTGTGCCTCCCCACAGATCTGCTGTGAACTAGAAGAGTGTCAGAACCCTTGCCTGGAATTGGAGCCCTTTGAATGTGGCTGCGACGAGATCCTGGTATACCAGCAGGAGGACCCTTCTGTGACTTGTGATCAGGTGGTTCTTGTTGTCAAGGAAGTCATCAATAGGAGGTGTCCAGAGATGGTCTCCAACAGCCGGACATCCTCAACGGAAGCTGTGGCGGGCAGCGCACCCCTCTCCCAGGGCTCTTCTGGGATTATGGAGTTGTATGGTTCTGACATAGAGCCACAACCCAGCTCTGTGAATTTCATAGAAAATCCTCCAGATCTCAATGATTCTAACCAGGCTCAGGTAGATGTCAACATAGACCTTGTTAGCCCAGACAGTGGGTTGGCGACTATTAGGAGCAGCCGTTCATCCAAGGAGAGCTCCGTGTTCCTCAGTGATGACAGCCCAGTGGGAGAAGGTGCTGGGCCTCACCACAGCCTCCTCCCAGGATTCGATTCCTATAGTCCCATCCCAGAAGGAGCAGTTGCAGAGGAGCATTCGAGGTCTGGGGATCACGGTGAACACTTTGACCTCTTCAACTTTGACCCGGCACCTCTGGTTTCCGGGCAGTCCCAACCATCTTCCCATTCAGCAGACTATTCCCCAGGAGATGACTTCCCCAACAGCGATTCGTCAGAAGGACAGCTTCCCACTGGACCGAAAGGACTTGATGAGATGGGAATTGATATGTCAAATTATTCCTCTAGTTCACTTTTGTCAGAGGCTGGCAAAGACAGCCTTGTGGAATTTGAGGAGGAGTTTGTCCAGAGACAAGAAAGTCTTGGAGATAACTCTGAAAGAAAGTTGAGCCTGACAGGTTTTATGGGAGATGACTCTCTCTCACCAGAAGGACTAAAAATATTGCAAAGAGGGTCCTACCAACACCTATGAATAGCTTTGTAGAAAGCTCACCATCCTCTGAAGAGCCAGCCCCACTCTATCCAGAAGATATGACCCAAAAAGCAGTGGACTCTGGGCCCCTGGGCCCACCACAGACCCGTACCCGGTGCAGCAGCTGGTGGGGTGGTTTGGAAATTGACTCTAAACATCTTGCAGATGCCTGGAGTTCCAGTGAGCAAGAATCTGTCTTCCAGAGTCCTGAATCATGGAAAGAGCATAAGCCCAGCCCAGCTGAGAGGAGAGCCTCAGATTCTGTATTTCAACCAAAGGGTCTCGAATTCCCAGAGTCAGATACCTGGAAGTCTGGATTCGGCCAGCCTGAAGGGGGTAGCGATGACATTCAAAATCAAAAAGAAGAAAGCTTACAGTTTCAGAACCTGCCCACTGAGACGCCAAATTTGATAAATGCTTCTCCTCAGGGAACAAACCACCTGATAGAAGATTTTGCAGCTCTGTGGCAATCGGGTCGCTCTCCCACAGCGATGCCTGAGCCCTGGGGAAATCCCACAGATGATGGCAACCCAGCAGCTACAGTGGCCTTCCCTGCCTGGAATGCATTTGGTAAAAAAGATAATCCTGATGTTTTACAAACTACCTGGAATCTTCACCCAACCAGTGGTGAGACACCTTCTGTGAGGGACCCGAATGAGTGGGCTATGGCAAAAAGTGGCTTTTCCTTTCCTTCGGAAGACCTATTGGACAATTCACCCAGTGAGGCAAATAATGAAGCGGCTACAAAACTCTGGGGTAAGAAGAGCGATGACCCCAGGGATAATGTCTTTGCATCTGGAAATCCCAGTGCTGACCTGGAACGTGTTTGGAACAATTCTAAACCATCAAGGGATGATCAGAATGGGCTGGTGGATCCCAAAGTCAGGGAAAAGGTGTACGAGCAAGTCAGTTCCTGGAACCTCTTTGAGGAGAGTATCAAGAAAGGAGGGTCAGAGGTCCTAGCACCTTGGGAAGATTCCTTCTTAGCCTATACCTGCTCTGGCTACAGCACATCCAATGTAGGAGAGGATTCAGTGCCATCCCCTTTGGACACCAATTACTCCACCTCTGACTCTTACACATCCCCAACATTTGCTGGAGATGAAAAAGAAACCGAAAACAAGCCATTTGCTAAAGGGGAAGGTTTGGCACCAAAAGATGCCAACTCTACTGCAGAAGAGGCTGATGTCCCTGCACAATCACCGCAGCAGCCACCAAGAAGCCGAATCAGTTCAGGTCCTGGGAACCTGGACATGTGGGCTTCACCTCAGGCAGATGACAGTCCTGAAATAAATACTATGTGTCACCTGGACAAAGATTTCCTTAAGACAGAGGACACAGGTGATAAGAAGGTTGGTGTGGAGGATGATGTGAGGGAGAGCAGCCTGTCCAGCTACGATGACCCCAGCATGATGCAGCTGTACAATGAAGCAAACCGACAGCTCTCACTTCTACACAGCCCCACCAACTCGCGGCAGGCAGCCCCCGACAGCCTCGACGTGTGGAACAGAGTGATTCTGGAGGATACACAGTCCACCGCGACCATCTCTGACATGGACAACGACCTGGACTGGGATGACTGCAGTGGGGGCATGGCGATCACCAGTGATGGTCAAGCAGAGGGCTATCTGGCTGAAAGCACAGAACCAGAGACCCGGTTTTCAGTGAGACAGCTGGAACCTTGGGGCACGGAGTATCAAGAAGCAAATCAGGTAGAATGGGAACTCCCCGCCTCTGCAGAGCACACCAAAGACACTGCTCCTAGTGAGTATCACACACTGAGTGAGAAGAGTGGACAGCTGATTGCAAACAGCATTTGGGATTCTGTCATGAGAGAGAAAGACATGTCATCACTCGGGTTACCAGGCCCATCATGCATTACAGATTCAGAACAAGGCAATTTGCTCCCTGAAAGTCCCAGCCATTCAACACATGACAAGGACAGTCATGTCCCAGATGTGCTAGAAACTTCCGGAATCAATGAAGAGGGATATCCTGACAATCAGGATGCATGGACAGGAACTCTGCAAGGGGACACTTCTTTCATGGTGACCAACCTTGAAAATCCAGGACATTTTGCACACTCGGATCCATGGGTAGGTCATAGCTATGGACAAAGTGAAAGTGAGACAGAAGTCCTGGGGGACTCCAACAGAGACCACCTCAATAAGGAAGCGGCAATAAGCTTGGAAGTAGATAACAACCCAGAGATTTCTAGGAATGGTCCCAGTGACCTGGAACTCCCTTCTCCAGTTGCATCTGAACCTCAAGAAATCTGTATTGAATCAGGCAAAATCAACTCTTTTTCAGACACTCACAGTCCTCAAACTGAGGAAGCAGAGGAACTTTTCCAGTATGAGAAGAGGTCTTACAATCTAGACCCCTGTGCTGAGCAAACAGAGCTGTCCACAGAAAACTTGCATGCAAAAGAGACCTACGAGGAGCCCCTCATAAATAATAGAAATTTGAGTGAAATTGTTGAGATTTCAGATCAGATGAATTTAACAAAAAATGTATCTTTATCTGAAATGGATCTTGAGAAAACTGAAGAATGTAACATTCTGGAACCAGAGAGAGCAAACGAAGGGCTACCACATGAATCTCCCCAAAGTCTTGATACTGTTGATGATCGTATAGATGGTGACATGCTGGACCATCACACAAGTTCTGAGATAACCAAGCATCTTGAAATTAGGGACACTGAAGCCAGCTTTCTAAGAGACAATCCATCTGGAAATTATGACAAAGACAGTATTTCTAGTGAGTATACTCATTCAAGTGCATCGAGTCCTGACCTAAATGATTCTTCAGTTGCTTTATCTTCCTGGGGCCATGGACCCAGTACTGAGTGTCAGGAAGAGAATCAAGATGGTAGGATTGGAAATGAACAGAATGACCAAGAATCTAAACTAGTTGCCACTGATAACCAAGTAGAAGCAATTACTGAAACGAAGGAAAACACAACAGACGAGTTAGAAAGGAGCTTCAATCACAAGGTTCCTAAATGTTTAGAGATTTGGAATGACTCAATAGATGGTGATTCCTTGTCCTCTTTATCCAGCCCTGAAACAGACAAATATTCTGAATATTTGGGTGCATATCAGGAAGGAAATCTAATGATTAGCCATCAGGAGAAAAATGAATGTGACATCCCTGAAATTGTGCAGCCAGAGGATGCCAGGGTCACATCAACCAGTTCAGGTTCTGATGATGACAGTAACGAAGAGTCAGTAGATAAAGAGTCCCATGTGGCCTCCTGTCATGTTACTCAGAGTGAATCCAGAGCTTGGGATTCACTGAGTGAAGATAAGTTCTCAGGCACAGAGGATGCCAAGTCTGAGCCCAAGGAAGAGGAGTTTTCTGACTACAGAGGCAGTCCAGAACCCGCAGAGAGTGAGAACAAGTCAAACCCATTCTATGACAACCAACAAAGTAGCCCTGTTCAGTGGACTTTCTCACCTCTCTCTGAGACTGAAGCACAGGCCACAGCAGTGGAGAAGGAGATGAGCTCTCCCCCACAAATGGGAGAGACAAGAACTGATGTATGGCAAATCTCTCCCAAAACTGAGCCAAAGAATGGGACTCATTCTCAATTGGAAATGCTTGGCTTCTCAGCTGACAGCAGCGAGTGGTGGAATGCCCCTTCACAGGAAGGGAGACGGATCGAGAGTGCTTTTGAAGGGGAATTGTCTAACTCAAGAGGTGTGTTAGAGAAGAATTCTGCCATAGGCCAGGATGTGGGTCCCTGGGGATTACCCATTCAAGGTGACACTGAATCCATGGAAACACACTGTGCTAATCCTTTCAACGATAATCTCCAGTCCCCTTTTCTGGATAGTAATGGGGACCGCTCCCACGAGAAACTTTGGAACATTCAACCAAGGCAACCAGAACCAGATGCTGATCAGTTTAGCCAGCTTGTGATATTGAACCAAATTAAAGAAAAAGATTTCAGAGAGCAAACTTTCATGTCTTCTGCAGGGGACGAGCCCCCTTCTGAAACTCACAACCAAGAGCAGGGTCAGGATACCACACTGTCCATCTGGGATCAGAAAGACCCAGCATTTACACACGCAGATGAAAATGAATGCGTTATGGCTAATGTTTCAACTATCAAGTGCCAAGAAGCAAATTGGTGGGAACAAGAAATGACACATCCAAGCATTGCCACAGAAAATCTCCCTTCTGTCAGTTCTCCCACACCATTGATAAAGAAAGCGGGCTCTGAATGGGATGACCCCAGCCCTTCTGAAGGCCCCCAAGGTAACTTTGTTCCAGATATTTTGCATGGCAACTTCCAAGATGGTGGACAACTGGCCTCAGCTTCACCTGACTTGTGGGTGGATGTCAAGCAGCCCTTCACTGTAAAAGTAGATGGCGAGAATCCTGATATACTGATTCACTGTGACCCTGACAGCAATTCTCATGCCTCCAACAGCCCAGATATATGTCATGATTCTGAAGCAAAACAAGAGACAGAGCAGCACATTGGTGCTTGCATGGAACCTGGTGTGGAAACCAGTGAGTTTTATCTCACTGAGTCAAAAATGAATGAAGAGCCTGGTGAGGAGCCTGTGCAGGAATCTGTTCCATACAACTCAGAACTCTATTCTGAAAATGCAATTCCTCTGCCTCCAGTCAACATCCAAGGAAATATAAATGACTCTTCTCAGCCTGCCTCTGGTAAAGGTTCTCCTGAAACTTCTGAAGTGAATGATGATAAGAATACAGGCTTAATAGCATCAGAAAAGGGGGCTGACCCAGATACAGCACCAATTTTGGAACTTGTAGACAGAACAATCCCAAGGATTGAAAATGTGGGAACCAGCATTTTCCTAACTTACCAAGAGCCAACTATGGAAGGCAACAACAGCTCTTGGATATCAGAGGACTTTTCTTCTGGAAGTCACACAGGTACAGGAGCCTTATGTGACTGTGAGCAATCTTTTGCTCCTGGGAATCTTGCTGCGGTCACTGATGCTTTGCTGGTGTCAGACACTTGCCTGGATATAAGCGAGGCTGCCTTTGACCACAGTTTCAGTGATGCCTCGGGTCTCAACACTTCCACAGGAACAATAGACGACATGAGTAAGTTGACATTATCAGAAGGCCATCCTGACACACCAGTTGATGGGGATACAGGCAAGCAAGACATCTGTTCGTCTGAAGCCTCCTGGGGTGATTTTGAAGATGTAATGGGCCAGAATATTGACGAGGACTTAATGAAAGAGCCTGAACACTTCCGCTTTGGTGGCGACCCCCTCTTGGAGGAAGATGCTCTGAAGCAATCACTGACACCATACACACCTCCCTTTGATCTGTCCTACCTCACAGAGCCCACCCACTACACTGAGACTACAGAGGAAACTAGGTCTCCTGAGGATGTGTCTCTGGGGAGTGAGGCAGCAGAAATGTTGCTTTCTGCCCTTCCTGATCAAAGCGAGGGAAACCACTCTGAGACCAAAAGCAGACAGGATGGACACCAGCTGGTTGTGCTGCATATACATGAAGACCCTGCCACCGGTTCCTTGCCTGTAGGAAGGACAGGCTCCAACACTGAATCATCTCCCTCAAACATTGACTGGGACGTAGAAACAGATAATTCTGATTCACCAGCAGGGGGAGACATAGAACCACCAAATGGTAAGAAACACAGCCCATTTCTCCACTTTGAAGAAATTGCTTTGATTAAACACAGTACGTTTGTAAAACACTCTGTTCCTAACAATGTACCCCAAGAGGAACTAACTATATTTTAAATGTATGCCTAACCAAGTCCTGTATTACAGCAGTAAAATTTAAAGCTAATATTATAATGCCTATCTCTGATTGTGCACAAGAAAATTAAACTGCTGTACAAAATAAAATATAATTATTAATTTGCTCCATTTTAGATGATAATTTGCAAAGATCACAGATCACAAGATGTGTTAATTAAGCCTGTTTTCCCCTTCTCACTTTCTTCTTCCATTTCTAGCTGTCAGCAAGGAAATTTTAGAGTTAGAAGAAAAAATAATTCCCACCAAAGAGCCTGAGCAGATAGAATCAGACGAGGAAGAAAGATGCATAGAGAAGAATGAAGATCATCACGCAGTGCACGTGGATTACATTCTTGTAAGTCATGAAAAAAATTCACCCCTGGAACCAGAGGCCTGTGAAGCAAGAGAAAGCAGATCAGAATTAGAAGAACCATATGAACATTCCGAACTAACAGAGCTGACAGAAACTCAGTTAGCAGGTTTCCCAGACACATGTCAACCTGCCTCCTCAAATGACAGCAAAGATCATTCTGCAGAGAGAATATCTTCTAAAGATGACAAGAGGTCATCTCTTGAAAGCCCTGCACAGGACCAGAGTTGGATGGTCTTGGGCCATGGTGAGGTTAATGATCTAACCTTCTCAGAAGCCATGGACTCAGGGCCTGGATGGTCTGGCAAGACTGCAGAGCCATTCTCTGATCTCACCTTGAGCAAGGGACCCCAGATACAGGATGCAGGAGAACTGAAGCCTCTAGAATCTTTAGCAGTAGAGGAAGTCTCCAGTCAGGGAAACCAAAGACGGAAGAGCAAGAGTGACCCAGATGCAGTTCTGTCACAGGTGGTTACTAATGACAATGAATGGGAAATGCTTTCACCACAGCCTTCTCAGCAAAACAGGATCCCCGAAAGGAAAGTAGAGGAGGAGACAGAGTTCCTTGAACCTGTAACTGGGAAACCAAGACCAAATGGGTAAGCAAAACACTAGATTTTTTTTTTTCTGAAAATCATTTAATTTAGAAACCAGATAAATAGCAAGGGGTTATGGAATATGAAGAACACCTGGGGGTTAGGAGCTTTGCTTATATGTGTTGCAAGGCATATTGTCAGTAAAATTAGCTGCTGGAAAACTATAAGCAAAATGATGATACATTTTCAGGCAAAAATAAAGCCATTTTCCATATTCTGTCAACTCTTCACTCCACCTACTTCGGTACCCATGTGACTCTGAACCACAGCATTGGAAATGAGATAGGGTGGCACTGATGTTTACTCAGCACCTACTGTGTGCAAGGGAGTTTGCACACGTGACCTCATAATCCTTACATGGATGGAGGGGATGGGAGAGAAGGAACTAAAGGCTTAGCAAGTTTCTGTTTCTTTCCAAGATTTAAGAGGGACTTCAAAGCTTCCCACCTCCAAAGTCCATACCTTTCTGGCTGACACACTGGCTATCTTTCAGAAGAGGCATTTTCTGGTTTTATCTAACCACCTAACATTCTGGTAGAGCTAAAGAGACTCTATTGCAAGAGCAAAATCTTTGTGTGAAACCATCATGACCTCATTGGCTAAGAAACTGCCAAACAATTATCAAGTCAGTGAATGCATCATTCATTCATTTACCATAGAGTTTTGGAAAATTTGCTCTGTGCCACATTTCTGGTTAGCCAAGGGGGCATATAGCAAGCAACAGGATGTCGTTTCTTCCTTCAAGATTTGGGACTTTATTGAAAATGTTTAGGATTTTCATTTGTCTTCATTTGCTCTTATACCTAGGGAAAAGTTAATTAAGTAATGTGGGAAATCATTTTTTCTCTTTAAAAGGTAATAGAGGAAGGATATGTTTTTGCTACTCAGCTTGGGAGATTCCCACTGCGAGTCGGGAATCTGGATTCTGGCGTGGCTTGACTGTTGCTAGCTATCTATGTTAAGAATAACTCCAGGTTTATGTTTCCTCATCTGTAAAACTAAAGGCTGGTCTAGATGATCTCAAGCCTTCTTACAGCATTAAATTCTGCCAACTTAATTTGTGGGGAAACTAGATGTGTCCAAGAGACCTTTGACATTTGCAAATTACATTTCTTGATGAAAGGAACAGACAAAACATTAAAAAAAAATCAGTTTATTGAGTGCCAGAAGGAGTTAAAAGTAGTACCGTATTCAAGTGCAGCCTCATAAACCCAGACATTTTAAGTTGGCCTAATCTTCCTTTTTCCTGTCAAGCTATTTCCTTCCAGAGAGACCCCAGATCCGTTATCAGAAAGAGAGTAGCAGATGGATCCCAGCAGCCCTGCTGGCAGTGTTATGGATTGAGCAAAGAACTCAGGCAGCCAGGAGTTGGCTGAGCTATTGTTTGGCTTCTAGTCTGCATTTTGTACATGCTCCTTAAACCAGCAGATGACAGTCCATGCTTGGTGGCACCACAAGCCACAAAGCTCCTTTGCTCTCAACAAGATTCTTTTCCTCACCCCTTTCTGCTCAGCTTCTGTTAGTGGTAAGACTTTATTCGCTGCATTTCTAGTACCTTTCACATAAATAATTTACTCTGAATGTATGTGAAAGTTTCCCTCTGTGCTAATTTTTGGAAGATTACAGAGTTGTCTAAAACAGTTCAGGGCTGAGTCTGTAGCTCAGTGGTAGAGCAAATGCTTAGCGGGCCTGCGGCCCTGGGTTTCATCCCTAACACCACACAAAAGCCAAACAGAGCAAGACCCAAAATCCCACAGTGATTCTCTAAGTGGGTCATAAGACCAGCAGTATCAGCACCATCTGAGCTCCTGTTAGAAGTGCAAGGGCTGCTGGAGTGGCTTAAGTGGTAGAGCACCTGCCTAACAAGCGTGAGACTCTGAGTTCAAACTCCAATGCCACCAAAAAAAGAAAGAAATAGATCTCCCTTTGGAGTCAGGAACTCTACTTCAGCAGTAGGTCTTACACTTAAGTTTGAAAACTGCTGTTCTAAGCCGTGCTCCTAGCCTTCTAGGAGTTTACAATTTAATCAAGGAGTGAGACAGATAAGAGTCAGGCTAGTGAATGACCAATGTCAATTTAAGCATAAGTAGCTACCAATTGTGTGCATCTGCATATCAGCTTCTGATCTCACTTGATCGCTTGACAGTGGCAACTGTGTGAGGTGCGATCATAAGAAAGAGAAAATCATAAAAGGAGAGATGTCTGTTTAGAGCATTTGTATGGAGCAGGTACCAGGGAAGGTTTATCAAACACAGGAGGTAGCAACCCCAGGTCCAAGGCCAGCTCTGGGCAAAAGTGCAAGACCCTATCTAAAAAATAACTAAAGCAAAATTGGCTGGAGGCATGATTCAGGTGGGAAAGTGCTTGCCTATCAAGTGTAAGGCACTGAGTTCAAATCCCAGTACCACCAAAAAAATAATAATAGAAAGAATAACATCTACTCTGTGTAGATTTTGTCTTTATAATAACGCAGTTGCGAAATAAAAATTTTAAACTATTTTTAATGAAAGAAGGGAGACTGTGAAGGCAGAAGAGCCAGGAAAGTCATGGTGTGGCTCTGACTGGCACAGGAAAAGATGGGCACAAGAAGAAGATCAAAAGTGAATGGGAAAGAGAAAGTAAGAGGCCAGCGAGTGAGTGGGAGAATAAGATGGAGGACGTGGTGGAGACAGGAGGCTAAGGACAGAAGCAAAAGCAAGGTAGCTGTATTTCCCAAACAAGAACCTGGAAGCATCCCACGCATAATATGATCAGGGGGCAGAGTCTCCAAAACCAACATCACCATGCAACAAAAGTAAAGATGTAGTCTTCATAAGTAGTAGTGGGTCGCACTGCACTATGACACACCACCTACAAACCCACTGCTTTCCTCCCTTTGCCCAGCCTCACACCCTCAGCTCCCAGACTGCTTCGAGGGTCTGAGCAAGCACTAGAAAGACGCCTTTTTCATCACATTCCACCTGCTGACTCTTCTCTACAAAATGCTTTATGAGGGCTAGGAAAGAGCCTCTCTTCTTGAGATTGTCAGTATTCTGTTCCTGGTCCCTAGGATTGATCTTCCCAGAAGCCTTTGTGAACACCTTGGTCATCTTCCATCTATGCTGAACCAGCAGAGGATCAAATACCAATTCTCCAAGACAGTGTCAGATGTGCCTCATTTTTTTCTAGGTGGTCCCAGAGCATACCTGCAGAGCAATCTGTAGCACACAGGCCTTTTTCTTTTCTGTCTTTTTTTTTTTTTTTCTCACTGAGGTGCTGGGGATTGAACCCAGGTCCTCACAAATGCTAGGCAACTAAATTCTCTAGCCCACAAACCTTTCTTAAAATGAAGAGACAGCATGGTTAGAAGATGATGTCTAAAGCAAGGGGCAAATGTGCTTTATATTAGGGTTTGCCAGAGGAACAGAACCAATAGGAGGGGTGTGTGTGCATGTGTGTGTGTGTGTGTGGAGAGAGAGAGAGAAGGAGGGGGAGAGAGAGAGAGAGAGAGAGAGAGAGAGAGAGAGAGAAGAGAGAGAGAGAGAGAGAGAGAATGGCCTGTAAGGGTGGTTATCCAAACCCTGGAGGCTGGCAGACAGTCTAGAAACTCAGGCAAGAGCCAGAATCAATGATGAATGGAGTCCAAATTCTGAAGGCACTGGGAAGTCAGGCAGGTGTCTATGTGTTGAGAATTCTTCAGGAAACTTCAGACTTCTCTCCTATAGCCTGATTGGATGAAGTCTGCCTGCACTATGGAGCATACTTTGCTTCGCTCAAATCCTGCTGATTTTAATGGTAATTACTTCTAAAAAGTACTGTTACAGCAACATCCAGACTGGTGTTTTACCAAATAACCAAGCACCATAGCCTTGCCACGTTGACACATTAATCATTACAGGTTAGTCAAAAGCTCAAACTATGTGCTAAACAAGTGTCAAACCATTAAACATTTTAAATTTATCATCTGAATTATATAAAGTTGTGATACTCGATATACAAATACACTGGCTTTCCATAGGTTATGGGGCAAGAAAGAGGCTGAATAAGGTGATGTATGTACACAGCCTTGGGGGACAGGAGAGGCGGGGGAGCAGGGAGAGGGTGTTCTTGTCACGTGTGCCTTAGAGATGGAGCATTCAGAAGTAACCTGACCCTCTTACTTGTGGAGATATTCCTTATTTCCTAGCTCTGGGAAGTGAGGTATTCAGTACTCCCTAAAACAACAATGATCTTCAAACACAATATATTTCACCTTCCATACCACCTGCTTGTATTGTCATTGCTGTGCAGTCTGTGTTTTTAAATGATCTCTTTTCCTGCCTGGGCAGCTATGGAAGAAAACCTCTCTCCCTGTGAGTGATACCCTTAGACCTTTTTATGTTTTTCCTGAGACCTTTAAAGTCAGGCTTTTCCTTTCTCTGACTTACGTGGAGGAGTTAGGACATTGGTTCTCTCTAATCACATAGAAGTGAAAATGAAAAGCAATAAATAAATAATCCAGACTCTTGCTCTCAGTGCTGGATAAAATGGGAACTCAGAAGAAACTGACTGTTTGAACGCAGGCAGCCCTTCCTGCTTCTCTGCTGGGCCCTGTCCCAGTTTTGAACATTTGCCCCTGCTTACAGGTTAAGTTGCAATCCATAAACTCCAGCTTTCCCTGTGCACTCCTGCTTTTTGGCTTTTCCCTGAACCAGACATGGAAAACCAAACGTGGTGGTGTGGCTTTCAGAGCCTTGGCTTGGTAAAAGAATTTTTCCCAAGATGAGAGAGCAGGAGAAGCAAAGGTTTCTAGTACATTGCTAAGGGAAGCAGCGGTTGCTGGGCAACACAGGAATGTCACCTTTGCTGTGCAGATATGGGGTTGGGGCCAGAGTTGTATGGAGTTACTTGGGATTTCGCTGAGTGGTTGTTTCCTTTTTCATGGGCCTTGTTGATTGGTTGTTTCTTCCTCGGAACATGGTTTGACTTTTGTGTGTGTGGGAACATTTCACTCATTTGGTCTCTATTTCCTCATTCCATGGTTT